CCGATCTCTATCTAGAGGGCTTTGTTTTAGGAGGGTCAGCTGTTCCTCATCTAGCAGTAATCAGTTGTCAATATTCCTTTGGATAAGATTGGGGTCTGCTGTTCAATTTCCCAGTTCTGTGCTGGGTTACTATCTGGGAGGAATCATTTGCTCCATGCTTCCAAGCAATTTTTTTTTTTTTTAATAGTCTTGTCTTACATTTTGGTAATAAGTTTTGTAAGTATAGTCCTAGTAAATTTGCACTTAGGATATTTACAGTAATGAAAGAAAGGATAATAGGTGTGTATAATAAATGGAACTTGGATAGTGGGTAACTTCACTAGCGAGGGAGAGACTCTTTCCATGTTATGTGCACCGAGAGACACTGGCTTTCAAAGGAACTGTCGTCCTTTGCTTCCCTGGTGGAAGTTTAGTTAGCACCAGTGAAGCAGTATGAATTCTGGCTGGTGTTGTGAGTCACCATGGCTGCTTACGATCACAGGGTGGCTGCCCATGTGATTGTGATTGCTGGTTCTTTCCGACAGTGGAATGCTTCGAGTTTCCAGAATAATTATAATGACGTTTGGAATGTGAGCACTGAAATATTTTAATACATATTTCTTCCCATGCTGTAGTTGGATGTCAGTGAGGAACTGTCTTTCAGTTCTTGTAAAGAACAATGTGGGGGTAGACAGTGAGATGGTTCAACTGGTAGACGTGCTTGTAATGCCAGCCTTATGATCTGCGTTAGAGTCTCAGAACCCATTTAAGGGTGGAAGGAGAGAACTGATTTCCTGAAAACTGTCCTCTCACTGCTGCACATGTGCCGGGGCACACACTCACACACACGTCATATATACACAAACAGTAATAAAGAAAGCATTTCAAAAAATGAGAGCGTTCGTTGTAGCACACTGAGTCTCATGTTAACTGTTCTCTGGGTGTGTGTGAGGACCAGTCTCCTTGTGCTGGGCACAGGCATCTTGTTGAACTTGAAGTAGATCTGGTTTCTTTCAAGTTACTAGTATATGCTGGGCCTCCTCGTCTTTGAAATTTGGATGACATTAGCCCCATTTAACTCACACAATTTCTGTATACAAGTGAAGCAATTTAAGGGAAGCTGTTTTACAAAAATAGTTGCAAAGCTCAGGTTTCATCTTATGGGGTTATGAAATTACTTTTCTTATCACAGAAATGAGGTATTTATTTACTTTCTGTGGTTTGTACATGGTCTTTTGCATGTTGCTTCTCAGATAACATCCCAGTCTCTGGAGGCCCATTTAAAAACTCCAAAGAGTTCAGTTAATTCTCTAAAAATCAAGTTTGAAGGCAGTTGCTGTCTCTTGTCGGTCAAAGTGGTAAACTTAACATTTTTCTTCAGAAATCAGTGATGGCAGCTTATTATCAATAAGAAAATGTGATCTGTGGTTGAATAATGGGGTATAAATATAATATTCCCGGTGATGACTGACAGTTTAGTTCCTTGGAAACTTCAGGGCATCTCTTTCACTGTTTATTAATATAGTGAAAGGAAATCACAAGGTTTAAAGACTTTAAGTTAATTACCACAGCATTAAATTATGGTAAGATAACCTAAGTTGCATATAGCTTAGATAGATAAATAATTAGATCACTTTCTACCAGTAGGTCTTCTGTTAAGGATAATTTCATAGCTAGAATACTGTAAGGATTGCTCTTTAAACCATGATTGATTCCAACCAGTACGAACTAGACGTATCATCTCAGGACAGCTGCTGAACAATATCATTTTTTACAGATCTAAAAGAAGTATTTAGTGTTTTTTTTTTGTTGTTTTTTTTTTTTTTTAAAAACAGGGTCTCGCTAGTCTTGGTCTGTCTGGAACTCACTATGTAGACCAGGCTGGCCTTGATCTCACAGAGATCCACCTGCCTCTGCCTCCCAAGGGCTGAGATTAAAGGCATGCAGTACCATACCCAGCATTATTAGTGATCTTTTGAAGACAGTGGAAGGTTTTTGTCAGGCTGCCAGTGTCGGCTGCATATTTACTACAGTGATGTTTCTAATGAGGCCAGTATTTATCCATTTAGAAGATGAGAAGGTTTGTGAAGAACAGATTTGTGCTTTAGAACCCTTTTGGTGTGGTTCACAGTGTGAATGAGGCACTCACCTACAGTGAGTCCATTCAGTACATTTCTGCGTTCAGATTTTTACATTTATGCTTCTTTCATTTATTTTAAAGGAATCATTTCTGTTTTGACAGTTCTGATTCTTATTTCCAGTATTTCCAGTATGTCTTTTACTTATTCCTACATTACCAAACTTTACTGTATTAAGCTTTTTTGTGTGTGTGTTTGTTTTTTGACATAGGGTCTCCTTGTAGCCTCAGCTGGGTGGAACTCGTGTGTAGACCAGGTTGGTCTTGATCTGACAAAGATCCACCTGGCTCTGCCTTCTGAGTGCTGGGATTAAGGGCATGTGCCACCAATCTCAGCTCTGAAGGAAGCTTTAAAAAGACCCAGAGCCTGTTGTTGTGAGCCTCCTGGGCCAGAATGGTCCAGACAGGTTATTAACACAGATTGCTGTCTGTGCCCCAGTCCTGATTCTGTAATCCTGGGATGGGTTCTGTGAATTGCACTACTCCTCTGCTCCAAGTGGACCTGAATCTT